TGTATAAATAACATTTAGGCGGCCAAATTATACTTATGATATAGATTTTACTTGATATTATATCTAAGATTTTTAAGTAGACATGTTATGTGCATTTTTAGTTGTGCTGGTCTATGTCTGTAATAAACTGATTGATTGATTGATTGGTCAGTAACTATCAATTGAAGATATTTCCTTAACAGGCACTAATAGCTAAAAAAAGTATTTCTTCCATGCTCCACAAAGACTGGCAGTTTCACTAGGAAGGCGGTGTACATCAGTCAGGACAAGGGTTGACAGCAGCATTTTATATTCTGTGTTATGGCAGATTTTTAAAAAAGCTTAAAACTGCTCCCTTTTTCAATTGATTGGAAGAAGGGGGTTCCTGGAGAAACTTGTTTGATTGTTAGGATTTCTATCTGAAATTTCATTGACGTATTGCAGTAATATTCCACATCTGAAGTGCTTTCTCTATAGTCCATAATTTTAACTTCCACTGTTAAGCAAAATGGAGAATGCCTAACAATATGTAACTGCTATGTCAACACCAGAAAATGAGGGCACAAAATAAATAAGTTGATATAAGACCAATTCATTTTGTTCCCAAGTGCCAAGATGTTTTAAGTGTTTACCTACAGTGCATTGTTTTGTTCCAAATAAGGTGCACTCACTCACTTTTTTAACTTTCAGGGGTCAAACGCCCCCTTTCAGAAAGGAATGAAGGTGAACTCAATCTGGACAAGGACGCCTCACCTTACAAAACCACACATGTAACATATTCTGAAGAAGACCTTGAAAAACTACTAAATTTATGCCATTACAATATTCTTTATAGCAAAGACTTCATCCTCCAAGCCATTCAACGTGCTATACAGAAAAAGAGACATAGTTGGTCCAGAAATGATAAAGAATGATAATCCATCTTCTAAAGAGAAGAATTCCAACATGTAGTATGATATATTTATGTTGTTTAAGGTAATGTTAATTGGTTGTCATTATGCTGCACAGTTTGTTGGATGCTTGGATAATTCCCACTCCTGACTGATTTAGCAAGTGGCTTTTAAACTAAATATACCGGTGTCAGCTTTCACGGCCGGTATCTGTTGGGCAGCGTTGGGCTTCAGGGTTTAGTGACCATGGTCTAGAGAACAGATTTCCTGATGTTTTGCCAGCAACTGTGGCTTGCATCTTCAAAGGCAAAGTGGCCTGCTAAGCAGACCACAAGCAACTGAAAAGGGACAGACTGGACTCCTGTCTTTATAGCCAGGCATCCTGACTTCTGATTGGCCTTTAGCTAAGCTGGTTTCCAATTGGTGCAGGCTGGTGAGATCTGAGAGAGGATAAGAGACCGCTTTGTCTTGGAAGATGCCAGCCACAGTTGCTGGCAAAACGTCAAGTAATCTGTTCTGTAGACCACGGTCACTAAACCCTGAAGCCCAACAGTGTCCAATGGCTTTTAAACTCCTTATTTATTTACTTTTTAAAATAGTCATCCCACATCAGGTAAGCCCTAGTTTGTGTGCCTGTATTATCAACCCAAATATTGATTTGAGTTTTGTTCTCTTAGACTTGGTATCTGTAATTCTATTATTTTATTTCTTAGATTTTCTTGTACAGGTCAGTTCAATAAATGATGCACATTCAAATATTACCTATTGGTGTTATCCAACAGTTACTATTAGAAGTGATTTAGGAGGTGGTGTTGACTGAAATTGATGACCTACTATTTTCTGAAGTAATTGAACCAAAATTATACAGTGGTACCTCGGGTCACGAACGCTTCTGTTCACAACCAATTCGGGTCACGAACAGCACCGTTCACAAAATTTTGCTTCCGTTTGCGAACACCGGATCGGGTGACGAACAGGATCCGCGGCCATTTTCCCTGCAGTGACACATGGTCGTGGCTTCCTGTAGGGAGGGGGACTCTCCCTCCAAGTAATAACCACCTCCCCACCCACCTTCCTGTCCTCCACGCCAGAAGTTGCGTCGAGCAAGGTTAGCATTCTCTCTCTTTGTACTGTACTTTGTGTCATATTTTTGTGGTTTAAAAAACAAACAAACATATGGTTCAGAATGGATT